AAAAAAAAAAAAAAAAAAAAAAAGAAAACGAGAACACGCGTTTATTTCGCGCAGAAGATGAACCAGCGAACTTTCCACCGATCCTTATTTCCCGTATTTGAAAACTTCTCCACTGTTTTTCAAAGAGCGTTAAACTGCAGGAACGGTGGTCGACTGAAGTTCCCGGACCAATTCTTCAGCGGATACAAGAGGATTCCGCCCCGATGTCACTCGTAACGGAAACCTCCGCGAAACTTCCCGCTCGTAATTCTCGAATCGAAACTTTTACAGTCATCCAACATCGGACTGATAATTGTTCCCTCTCCATATATACAGTCGGTGTGTGTCTTTCGTGGAACTCGCACGAACTTTACGACGATCAAACTCGACCAGGCGAACCCGGAATAAAACGGCTTGTAACCTCGTTCTTCTCCTCGCGAGACGATATCTTTGCTCCATTTATCGAGTCGGAATATCGATGTTTCGCGGGTACCTTTTATTCGTTTTATATATAGTTTTTACAAATTTTTTCATCACGATTCCTCCCCCTGATTAATATTCGATATCGATATCGATGGATTTATGGAAGATGTATTTTTTAAAGAAATTTTCAAGAACGAACAAAGGAAAGGAAATTTTCACGATTCTTTATTGATCAAAATATCAAGTTTCACGAAGATATACTTATATTTTTTTTTTTTTTTTTACAAATTTTCGACGAAGGAAAAGAAATAAGTTTAGAAAGAAAGACAAAAGATTACGATTTCTCTTCTAATTAATCAGAGAAGAAACTTTGGGCTTTTTTTTTTTTCTCTTTTCATGGAAGATTACTCGTATAGTTTTTATCAATTTCGAGGAGAGGATATAAATTTAGAAAAAGGGAACCGAGCGAAAGAAGAATGGTTCATCTCTTCCTCGTGACTGATTTCGATATTAACGATCCCCTTTTTCCACTCTCGGTTCTTTTTTTTTCTCTCTCTCTCTCTCTCTCTGGTTCCACGAAGAATCGAACGACCAGGGTCGAGCTTCCGTTTCACGAAGTCGTAACTGACCGCAGTTTCCTTTCCACCCACGGGCCGAACAAGCGCGGAAGAATTAAGGGGGCGAAGTGACGTCGACACAATGGATTCTCGTTGCGGGCATAGGATTCCAAGAAACAGAAAACTTCATGGGAACCAGAAGAAATGATGGAATGGTATAACGCGTACAACTTGGAGAAGAAAATCCACGATTAATGGAGGAGCGAGGCACCAAGGTAAACGGATAGAGAAATCTTGGAAAATTTATAATATATCGTGGATTAAAGGTTAAGAACGTTAAGAAGTAAGTGAAAATACCACTGTAATTTTATCCCCTCGTCGTCTTTATTTTTTAAACGTTTAATCCGACAATCTCGTAACACCCTTTATCGCGATATTTCCAAGATAATGTTGATTCTTTTCAAACCACTCCTACAGTGACGTTTACTTGCTTGACAAAAAAGTTTCCTCGACAAGTATATGATTACTTTCACTCTTACATATTTTTTAATCTCCATTGCTTCATTTTCTCCATCTTATAGATATTTTGAAGTATCGATTTGAAATTGAATTTCTTTCAACCAATTCCCGTGATTTTACAACGATTTAGCTCCCCCGAAGAGTACGTTTTCGAAGGATCTTATATCGTCTATCTATTTAAAAAAAAATTTAATCCCATTGTGCGATATTTCTTAAGATATCGAACGCGTGAAAATTCAATTGATTTCGAACGAGCCGCGTGATTTTAGAAGAAGAAGGCGAGCTCCCCGAGGGATGTATAACAGCTTTCGAAAAACTTGAATCTCGTCGGTTTCTCGGAGGAAAGGGAGAACGGGAGAAAGAAGTTAACAACCAAGATAAAATAAAGCGCGCACGTTTGACGTTACCGAGCGTTGTTAACGTTGTTCCCTTCCTGTTCGACTTTGTTATCCCCGGTTGCTCGGAGCGAGATAGGGACGAGAAATCTCTTTTCCAGTGCGGTAGATTTTTATGAGACGCCTGAGAAGAAAATACAGTTCCTACAGCTACGCTCGTATCAACGGCTCTAATTTGATCGCAATAAACGCTTGTACGAGGCGGTGGGAAATTTATTCGGACAATAAACGGGCGGGTGCCTCGGTGAATTCTCAAACCCCTGTTGCAAGATTTCGAGTAAATTGCCGGAAGATTAATAATCTGAAAAATAGGACGCGCAAGGGAGGGCGACATCGGAAATTCTTAACATTCTCCTCCTTCTCGTCCTCCTTCCTATTCCTTGTCGACTTCCTTGCCTCTCGTCCGTTGAATTATTCGCTTTATTTAGACACTCTTGTAAGAATTTTTTAATATTTTTCTTAGGTCGTGGGATTATTACGGTTTCGTTTCTTATTTGTTGTAGACACTTGGATTAAATATAAATTAGCATCGTGTTTCTAATCGAAAATGATTATGGTATCGTCAGGTAATTCTATCTACGTCTAAAGGTATTTAGATATCTGTTCCTCCTCCGAGTAATTTTATCAAAGAATTACAGAGATGAAGAGATATGATATTCAATATTTATTATTGTTAACAGGTAACATTGTAACAACATTTACTATTTTCTATCTTGAATAGATAGAAGCGAATGTGACAATTAATCACGATTTATTAAAACTGGCGAGTTTATGTAGAGCGTAATAGCTTATATGTAAGAATATTTTTTAACTTAATCAAATTCGAGACGATGAAATCAAACTTTGCAGTCCTCGTTATTTCATTTAAACTTCTTAATGGCAAATGTTCAATTTTCAATGTTTCATTTCCCCGTGCGTTATAAAGATATTTCCAGGCGAAATTGTATTCAAAAGGAGTAATGAAAAAAATTTAAAGTTTAATTTCACGCATCCAAAGAGATTTTCTATCTAAAAAAGTAATTGCTATACGTCCATTGCGCTCTACATATAATATAAAAAAAAAAAGAAAAAATCTCATTAAAATCAAAATTTTCGAGATTAGATGAACTTCCCTTTTAAAAACGAACGTACGAAGACCGATGTACCATAACTGATCATTCTGATGTGTCATTCGAAATTTTCCACTTTTTTTCCCTTCAAAAAAAAAAAAAAAAGAAAAAAAATACAACCATCGCATCAAACCATAGAGAAATACAAGTTAATTAAATTACCATTGGAACAAGCTTTATCCTAGTACAACAATACCCATTTCCAGATATTCGTCCCAGTTCTAATACCACGGAAATCCCGTTAGCTGTTACGTTCCTGTCCACCCTCCCCACACCCCGTCGACCGTGGAGCATGGGGGAAAAACGATCCGCGGAATTATAACACTTCCCGGCCGCTCTTGACTTGAATTAAGCCCATTTTTAAAACTCGACCAAGGCTTTTTTCATCCCTCCATCCCCCATCCCGTATCGCGATTTCTTCTACCTAATATTTCAACGGGAATTGCGCTGGCTACGAAGTTCACGGAAATTAGATCTCGACCGTGGCCACTGGCAATTTCAACGCGGTATCAACTAAATAATACCCTCGTAACTTTTTCCACCCTTTCCCCTCCCCCCTGTATCTTTATTCCTCGTTACTACACCCTTTATAACGACGATGTATGTCGAACTAGAGGGGGGAGGGAGAGAGGGGATAAATAGGATTCGTTTCGTTTCGAGACGAGGCATCGGGGATTAGACGAGTGTTAGCGAAAGTATGGGATGGGATTGGTGACCCAATTGCGAGAGTCGAGAGATACGTTTCGTTTCGGATTGATACGGGACGCGGAATGATTCGGTGAATATTCCCGTAGAAATTGCTTCTTTTCTTTTTCTTCTCTCTTTCTCTTTTTCTTTTTTTTTTTTTTTTTTTTTTTTAGGTAAGGATAATTGTTTGTATCGTGTATATAGGATACGAGGCTAATTTTGAAGCGACGTTGCTATTAATAAATTTTGATTGTTTGATATGGTAGATCCGTGTTATCCTGGTAAGTCGTTGCTTTCATTGAAATGGGATACAACTTCCTAGAAGCGGGATACAAATTGCTTAGATATTCAGATCTGTTGGGGTACTATTAAATAGTAGCGTTGATCTTCCCTTGTAATGTAACGTAGATTACAGGACGTAGGGTGAAATGTATTTTGAAATGTTTGCTTTCATATTTGAGCATCGTTGGATATTGGGGAAAAAAGAAAGATTTTTATTATTTTATAAAAATAAAAGATGATCCTAGCTCGAGCCAGGAAGAATTTTTTTTACGATGTAGAGGTGTACAAGTTTGAGTTTGCAGGGGAAAAAAATGGAAAGGCCGAAGATGAGACGAGACAGTTCGGGGAAACGGTCTCGAAATTATGCGATAGTTTCAGGCCAGACTAAGGTGATGAGTTCGAGACGAGACAGCGACGATAATATCGGAGGTACATAAAGATAGTTTAAAACGAGACGTCACTGTGTGCTCATCGTGTTTGTGTTGACGAGTCTGTCAATAAAATCTTGCAGTTTCTTTGGACATTTCTCATTTATCGTTAAAATTTTACGACAAGATCGTTTATTTCTCGACGAATATAAATACGTAAGAACGTTCTTCTGTTCAAATGTTCATTCTTGGTTGCAAGAATAGAAAAAAAATGTACTTTTTCAAATATAAATTTTATATTCCTTTTCTCTCTCTTTATATATATATATATATACTTTCAAAATTCTTCTCTATCGTTTAAAAACGATCATTATTCACTCGAAAGAAACTCGCTTCTAGTTCAATTATTACATTCGAAAGAAACAATCCATAACAAGCTATCCAACGAATAAACGGTGAAACCATACATCAAACCAGACCTCTCGATATCAGAGATCCGAGACGGATAGAATCCCAATACAAAAATCTGTTTCTCTTTTCTTCACCCATTGATACACCTCCCGTGTTACGAATTAACATAAATTCCTATTCTTGATCGAGAAGTTGGAAAATTTTTATCCTTAAAAGCACGACGAGAAAGAGAATTAAAAAAACGTGTAATATATAGAAACGTAAACTCACATTGCACGTCCAACAGAATGCTCGCGTTCATGGGTATGGTGAGGGTAACGTGACGAGCGACGCAGGCGATGGTCGCGTTATGGTGACCCCTGAGAACCTTGAGGTGTGCCCCGCTGCGTCTACCGGATGTCGAGGGCAGCACGGTCAGATTGTCCGGCGGTTGCTCGGGACCGTCCAAAGTGGCCTGAGACAGAGTCATCCCCCATGCCAAATCGGGTGGTGGGTTGCCACCCTCGGCGGCGCACTCCAACGTCAATTCGGACCCCTCCTTTACAGGGACGAACTGGTTGCCTGGGTCCAACCGACGGCCATCTATCAGCAGGTACGTCCCACGGGGTGCCTCTGCAACGAATCCAACCGACCGATAAGTGGCCTCGTAACGATGAAAAATCTTGTCCGGATATATTCCGCTTAGTGCCACTGAATTCGAAAAGAATTCCCTTTTCGATGTATATATCGATCAAATTCGGTAAGTGATAAATAGATTCGTGTGGGTGAAACGCAACGTGTTACGTAAATATACATATTGTCGGATGTGTATACTTTGTACTCGTAACAATTGGATCATTGGACTCGGAGAGGATACTAAAAAATTTTGTTGTCAAAAAATTTAGTCAAGAAATGGGGGAAAAAAATATGGAATATTTTTGATAATATCTTTTGATAATCGAGGTAATGTTTAAGCGTAGAGATTATGAATGGGCTCGTGACTTATATTTTTTCTTGGAAATGTGTACTATTATTGCGTCCTTCCGGGAATCGCGTATGTCGCTTGTCTGGAATTTGAGATAGGTCAGTGAGACGAGGAGGCCGCGAGCGAGAGATTCGAGACGAACGATCAAAAATTACTCTTTTCTTCACACGATGATATCTCGGGAACCGGAAGTCGTATAAAGATAATTCAAAAAGCGTTTCGAAAGGTAAGATTCCGCGTTTCCAATGATTTCTCATTTGGTGATCAAAATCATTATTTTTGGTATTAAAGTTTTTCTAATTTCAGTCGAATTTTAAAACACGCGATGAATATGTTTATTTATTAAAGAAAAGTATCGTTTATTATGACGATCTTATTAACGATGTCTTTTGATTGAATTGAGTGCGCGAAAACATTACAGATTCGAAATTTCATGGTTATCTTTAACATATAAAATAAATGCAAATATTAAATTATAATTTAATTTTCCATGTTCGTTCGGCAATAATAACAATTTTAAATACAAAAACATCATCTTTTTTCAATAAAGGTATGTATAATCGATACAAAATTTTTCATCGAATAATACATATGGTTTACAAAAACATAATGTTTTTAAATTAAGCTCGGATAATTAATATTTTCAATGGAAAATCACGTGATGGATAACGAAGCAATTTTTCGAACGACTAACATTCAACAACCGGAATTTCAATCGCGTAATATTACGTGTTTTTCGAGGCGTTGATAAGCCGTTACGAAAACTGAAAACAAGAAAATGTAAATTTATTGGGAATGGCGCGGGGGAAGGGAGGGGGAATAGCGGTAATAAGAATCATGTTTTCCATTCAAATTGATCGTGTTTATGCGGCCCAAGGGTGTGCCAAGCGTTTCAACGAGAATTTCTACCGGAGTTTCGTTTCCCCGCCGATAAGATCCAGTCACGTTCATTAAATCCCTTCTCGTGCTCTCGATCTTGCCAAAAAATTGGCGCGCGGGACGGCCCACGAAATGGATTATGGAAAAGGAAAACGCGTGCACAGGTTTTTCGGGGCCATCGGAAATTGCGATCTCTGACACGTGTCCCGATTTCACGTAATAAAATACATGCTCGCCGGGAATACTAACGGCGATATTTCCCACATCGCATTCCCGACCCGATACACTCGCCGGCCTCTCTATCTCGATTCCCTTTCACAATTGTTTTTATCATCCTTATTTCCTTGGAAAATAAAATCGGATATTGGCAGAGTTATATCGGGGAATTGGCGAGAATCATGGCGGTATTAACCTCGATCGATATTATAAAACTGTATTATAATTTTGTTTTATTTTAAGTTACTCGAATTATATTCAATACGGGTGTTAGATACGAGTTGAAAGCGGAAACACCGTGGAAACATCGATTTGTAAGTATCGGATTTCCAAAATAATTACGTAGTATTTATTTGGGGAAAGGATCGTAATAATAACGTAAATCACGATTCTTTTATAGAAAGAAAGTTATATTTATAAATCGACGTTTATAAGAGAAAAAAGTCTTCCTCGTTTATATTATTTGTATTTCACAAATTTTAAACCTCATTTAACGCATTCAAATGATCTTGATTCTCATCTTGATCGTTCTTTTTTAAATAGAATTCGAGAATAAAGAAAAAACGAATATCAAGGATCAAAGAGAATGAAACGGAGTGTGATGGATATTTTTTACGTCTGACAAATAAGATCGAAAATACGAAATGAAACGTATTTCACTCGAATCGGTTGGGGATAAAATATAAAAGATAAAAAGAGAAAGAAAGAAAGAAAGAAAGAAAAAAGAAGAAAAAGAAGAAGACACAAGTTCAACGAGCTGTACTTTGTATGTCAGAGATATTTTCCAATTTTTCCTATAGGATGTATCGGGGTTGAAACGGTTCATTATTCAAAGGGTCCGTATCCTTCGAAAAGAGAATTCAAACCGAAACAAAAACTACGATGGGCATAGCGTAAGAATCCTTGCTATTTCTGCTTTCCTCGTTCCACAATTTCTGCGTTCTCTGTCCACAATTTCATCCGGAATTTTCGCGATGCGAATGTATATATGAGGCGTAGGCGAGAAGAGTGAGGAAGGAGGAGGGAGGAAGCGTCGAAGTTTTGCGTTTCATTCGACGAACTGAAAAAGGTGCGCCTGTCCACTCGATAAATCTGCACGCGTAGTTTGAAATTTTATCCTCCCGTTTTCCATGAAAACGCGCCATCGCTCTCTCTCTCTCTCTCTCACTCTCTCTCTCTCTCTCTCTCTNGATTCGTCCAATCGGTTCGAATGCCTGAGCTGTGGCGAAATTAATATAAAATCGGGACGTGAAAAGAGAAACAGGTTATTCGGCCGATGATTATGCGATATAGTCGTACGAAGATTAATTTGAATCGCGTCACGTACAAATTATTATTATTATCATTATCGATTTCTACGATTCTCCATAATTTTAACGAGTTATTATTGCCGGAGGTGTCGATACCTGTAATTTCTTAAGCCGAGGAGTAAATATGGATGATTTTTTTCATTTATAATTGATGATTGTTGAATATCTGCGTGGGGATATATTCGGAATTCGTTGATAACGTCGGATCTCTCGATAATTTCAAATTAATTCTTAAATCCCTCTTTTAAATCTCTCGTCGTCATCGAATCGTGAAACTTGATTATACGCGTCTTTATATATTCTTTTTTTTACCGTTCGAGGACCGGAAGCTGGAAATACACGGAAGACGATGAATAAACGAGCTCACCGTTAATTCACCGTTCCCTAAGCGAAAAGATAGATCGGCCACGGCTCATAACCGGAAGATCGTATCGTCGTATCTGAAAGCGAACGTTGGAATCTGGAGAAAAATCCAGGCACACACTTTGCATACACTTTTCGCCTCAATTTTCAGTCTAAAAATCACGGGCTCGCTCCGTTGGAAAGGTTCCAGATCTGTGTAATGCGATCGCGAATCGAGGAGAGGAAAGGATTCGAGGAAGGAAAAGAGGGTATTCCCCACCGGTGGTTATATAATGTATTCCCTGGTGAGCATACGCTTCCTCTTCCAACTTTTCCAACCAACGTCTCGCTCTTCTTTAACCAAACTTTTCGAATCGCGATCGTTTCTTAATTTCATTTTCAAGTCCGTGCCCCCTACGTATCCCCTGACGTTCGACGTTTCGTTTATTCGTTTTGTAATTTTTTCGTCCAGTAATTGGAATCTGTCGATGGTTAAATTAAATAGATCTAAACTTTTCGTCTATTCTTTTTTTATTTTACACGCATTTCTTCAATCTCACGTTTTGTCTTCGTGAAAGTTGGTCGATCATTCGATCGCTCAATTTAATAAATAATCAGAGAATACGCATAAGAAAACAAAAAATTTCTTAAAAACAAAATGTATCCTTTCTTATCATCTGTCTGTCTGGAAAATCTTATAAACCACGCAATGTCTCAATGAGAGCGAGAAAGAGATTTAAATCGTTTCAATATATTCGACTGATAAATAACTCGCCCAATTTATTCGCCGCACCCCATCTTCCTCTTCTCCATTATATAAATTTTTCGCCAAAATCCTTCGTTTTTCGAAACGAGGGGAAAAAGAAGAGTTTGAAAAATCGACGAACGAGCCTCGATAGAATTGCACCTTTCATCGAAACAAAAGGGGAAAAATAAAAAGGGAAAATTCCTTTTACCTTTCCATATATACGAGGGTGGAAAAATCTCGTTGGTCGAAACGTGGATGAGAGAATGGGGGGAGGGGGGCGTGAGTATCGCGGGAAAGTGGAATTAACGAACGCAATAGGGTCTACTTTTTTGCTCGTTAAGTCGAAATCGGTCCGAGAGGACCGATCAATCCGAGGTTCGACTCGCGAGCGGGCGGCGCATCGCAGATTTTTAACGTAATAAAGTGGAAATAAAGTGGTTTGGAGCTAAACGAAGGCTCGTGTGCACCGGCTCCATTCGGGTCACTGAATTAATACATCGGGTTTATCCGGTGGCGCGGTATCGCGTGGTTGAAACTCGTCAAGAGAAAAGGAAAGACCACCACCATCACCCTCCATCCTTCCACCCTCGATCGGAAAGGGATTTAATCGCGACGCGAATCGAATTATACAATCCTTGCAACCGACGCACGTTTTCGTTTCCATATACGAGGATAACCGTATTCGATTTTTATTTCCCCTGCAATTCCGCCCGTATACCGGGGTATGAACAGAGTATGGGGTATGAACGCGGGGAGAGTTTATAAAACACTTGGATCGTTCGCTCGATTATTCGAGGGATGGGGTCTAACTCTTCCATGATTACAGTTTTGTTTCGTAAATTCAATCCGCCGCGAAACGGTTCTCTACTTGGAAACTTTGGCAACCGATTGGAATGGGTTGCGTTAAATAATCGTGAGATGGGTATATATATATATATATATATACATAGATACTCGTTATAAAAGTGGTAATAGTGGAAATAAACAGTTTGCGTGGAGGATAATTGTTTCGACCTGTGGATGTACGAGCAATGAATCATAAAATGGTATAAAAATTGCGTGAAAATAGGAAGTAGTAAAAAAAAGAAAAACGAAGATTTTATTATTTGAATGCGATTACTGGATGCGATCAATTTTTATAATAAAGGTATAT